CAATCATAAATGAATACTTCTCAATTATAACCATCAATATAAATGGACACAATTCACCAATTACAAGAAATAGACTGGCACAGTGGATTAGGAAACAAAATCCAATACTATGCTGTATACAAGAAACACACTTAACTCATAAAGAAATTCATAGTCTGAAAGTTAAAGGGTGGAAAACAATACTAATCGCCCTAGCACCTCAGAAAAAAGCAAGGGTAGCAGTCCTATTCTCAGACAGTCTCAACTTCAACCAAAAATGATCAAATGAAATAAAGAAGGCCGCTATACACTGGTCAGAGGAAAAACTCAAGAGGAACAGGTAACACACATAAATATGCATGCACCAAACATGGGAGAACCCAACTATATAAGACAAACCTTAATGGACGTGAAAAATCTAATATTTAATACCACAATCTTAATAGGAGACCTTAACACTCCCTTATCCCTAAAAGATAGGTCAAGCAGACAAAAAATTTGCAAAAGAGTAGCAGAACTGAACCAGAGTTTGGGGAAAATGGACTTAGTGGACATATACAGAGAGTTCCACAAAGCACAGCTGAATACACATTTTTTTAGCTGCACATGGGTGATTTTCCAAAATAGGCCACATAATAGTCCATAGGTCATGCTTAAGTATATGCAAGAGAACAGAAATTATCCCGTGCATATTATCTGACCACAGTGCAATGAAAGTGGAAATAAATGAGAAAAGAAACAAGAAAAAACCCACAAAGATGTGGAAATTGAACAACATTCTAGTCAGCAACCAATGGGTCACAGAGGAATTTAAACAAGATATTGAACAATATCTACAATCCAATGAAAATTCAAGCACAGCTTATCAGAATTTATGGGATGTGATGAAAGCAGTTCTCAGAGGGAAATTTATAACTGTGAACTCACATATTAGGAAAACAGAACGGGAGCAAATAAACACCCTAATGTTGCACCTCCAACATCTAGAAAAGGAAGAGCAAACCAAATCCAAAGCCCAAAGATGGAAAGAAATCATAAAGATTAGAGCAGAAATTAATTCAATTAAGACAAAGAAAACAGTTTGAACAATTAACGCATCAAAAGCTGGTTCTTCGAAAGATTAAATAAAATTGATAAACCCCTAACTAACCTCATCAAAAAGAGGAAAGAAAAAAATTCAAATACAAGCAATAAGAAATGAAAAGGGTGTGTGGTGGTTTGTGTATAGTTGTCCCCCCAAAGCCTTAGGCAGTCTTGAGGAGGCTTCTGGAGTTTGTGATTGATTATTGTGGGTGTGGATGCTGTACTTGCCCTGGAGCAGGTAATTTTCATTACAATGTAAGGTGGGAAGAGAACCTAGCTTCTTGAGCTGCTGCTACCCTTCCCTTGTGCTCTTGCTCTTTGCTGCCACCAAGAAAGTTTGCTTTCTGCTCTGTGCTGCACTGTCTTGGATTCAGCTGAATATGGACTGAAACCTCCAGTAACTGTGAGCTAAATAAACTTTTGCTTCCTTCATTTTGAATGTCAGGTATTTGTCACAGCAATGAGAGAAGACTATGACAGGGTGTAATTGCCACAGACCCAGTGGAAATTCAGAATATTATCAATAGCTTCTTTGAGAATTTTTACTCACAGAGAAGAAATGCACAGATTCCTGGAAGGGTACAAATTACCAAACATAAATTAAGAAGATAAGCCAGGGAGACAGCTCAGTGGTATAAGCGCTTCCCTGGCAAGCGCAAGGGCCTGAGTTCAATCCCTGGTTCTGCAAAAAAAAAAAAAAAAAAAAAAAA